AGAGAGAGAGAGAGAGAGAGAGAATTTTAACATTTATTTATTTTTTCTTAGTTCTCGGCGGACACAACATCTTTGTTGGTATGTGGTGCTGCTGAGGATCGAACCCGGGCCGCACGCATGCTAGGCGAGCGCGCTACCGCTTGAGCCACATCCCCAGCCCCCCGCATTTATTTATCTTTATGTGGTGCTGAGGATGGAACCCAGTGCCTCACATGTGCTAGACAAGCACTCTACTACTGAGCCACAACCCCAGCCCATTAACCCAGTCTTTATCTTCATAGCAATATGGTTTCCTCACATCTGAATCAAAAAATGGAAGTTAAAAGTTGCCAACTTCCTGGCAGTAGATAAGGTACAGAACACTTAGGTTAGAACTCTCATTGTCTACCTGTATGGTCTTGAATCAGCTCAAGGGTCTATTACTGAAGACTGATCATCTGTTTGGAGTAGGGCTAACTGAACAAGGAATTTGGAAACCAAATTCCTGTTGTTCTTTAAATAGAAATATAGCCAGGTCACCAAAGAGAGAAAGGGGATAGAAAAGAGATGATTAATGGGAACATTTTTAATCTGTTTGTTTACATAAAAACAAACCTAAATCACCCCAATTATAGTCTCCTTCCTCAGTACTTTATCCTTCTTTCCTGCAGACAGCAGGGGGAAAACTCAACTGCCTCAAAAAATAGTAAAATAAATTTTTGTACCCCCAACACTGAAACCCTTCCAGTCCTAATGTAGCACAACTTCACTAGGATTCTAAAAGTGCTGGTCAAAAAAATTACAAACTTCCAAAGATGTTACTAAGCTAATGCCACACTTAAGACAGAGTCATCACTTATCAATTCAAATCTAGGACTCAGCCATGCACAGTAGTGAAAACTTTGTAATCTCAGCGATTCCAGTGGCTGAGATAGGATTACAAATTCAAAATCAGCCTCAGCAATTTAGCAAGTCCTCAAGTAACTTAGACTCTGTCTCAAAAAATAAAAATGGGGCCGGGATTGTGGCTTAGTGGTAGAGCATTTGCCTGGCATGTGAGAGGCACTGGGTTTGATTCTTAGCACCACACATAAGTAATAAGGTCTATCAACAATTAAAAAATTAATTAAAAAATTAGTAAATATGGGGCTGGGGTTGTGGCTCAGCAGTAGAGCACTTGCCTCGCATGTTCGAGATCCTGGGTTCAATCCTCAGCACCACATAAAAATAAATAAATAAATAAAGGTATTGTGTCCAACTGCCACTAAAAAATGAATATTAAAATAGACAAGTTACTATTAAAAAAATAAGTAAATAAAAAGGGCTGAGAATGTGGTTTTTGAGGCAAATCTATGTTCAGTCCCCAGTAGCAAAAAAAAACCTCAGGGGTTGCTCCGAAATTTCAAGATTTTTTTTTTTCTCATAGATTTCTTATAGATCTTGCATCTTGTAGATCCCAGATCTGAAACAAAAGCGTTTCTCATGTGAAAATTATGTGGGAGGGGCTGGGGTTATGGCTCAGCGGTAGAGTGCTCACCTAGCGTTTGCAAGGCCCTGCGGTTCAATCCTCAGTACCACATAAAAGTAAATAAAGGTATTGTGTTCAACTACAACTAAAAAATAAATATTTGAAAAAATAAATAAATAAAATTATGTAGGAAACCTAAAAGTCAAGATTTGTCTTGAAATTTCCCAAGATGGGTACAGGTTGTCTCAGCTCTGTTTCTTGGTGTGGTCCGGGGATTGAACCCAGAGACACTTTACCACCAAGCAACATCCCTATCCCTTTTATAAATTTTGAGACAGGGACTAAGTTGCTACAGCTGTCCTGGAAGTTGGGATCCTTCTGCTTCAGCCTGCAGAGTCCCTGAAATTGCAAGCATGCACCATTAGGCCCAGCCCCCACCCCCCACCCCCCTTTTTTCCCTTATCTACAAAAAAACAAGTCTCAAAGCCTGGTGCCCACACACCAACTCAAGGCAACTCAAGAGGTTGAGGCTGGAAGACCCCTAGTTCCAAGCCACAGTCAGCAATTTAGAGACCCTCAGCAACTTAGTGCAATCTTGTTTCAAAAAAAAAAAGTCTGGGGTGTAGCTCTGTGGTAGAGCACAAATTCAATCCCTGGTACCAAAAAGCTAAATCTAAGACTATTTGGTCTCCATAAAATTGGGAGGAAACTTTTGATGGTTACTTTGGGGGCGGTGGTTACTGGGAATGGAAACCAGGGGCACTCTATCACTGAGCTACATTCCAAATTCTTTTTATTTTGAAACAGATTTCCCAAAATTGCAGAGGCTGGTCTTGAATTTACAATCCTCTTGCCTTGGCCACCTGAGTCACTGGGATTATAAACATGCACCACACCTGGCAATGGTTACTTGTCCACAACTTCAACTGGGTTCTTTAAAGAAATCAGTTTGAGGACTGGGGTTGTAGCTCAGTGGTAGAGCGCTTGCCTAGCATGTATGAGGCACTGGGTTTGATCTTCAGCACCACATAAAAATCAAAACAAAGATATTGTATCCATCTACAACCAAAAATATTAAAAAAAAAAAAACTTTGACCACAGCCAATTAAAACACAGTGAGTACAGCAAGTATAAAATTCCAGCAAAGGCTTTATTAAGTGAACATGGAGGATAACTGCTCAGAAAATTTTGTTTTCCCCTTTTCAGGACCACCTTCTAGAGCTGGGGATGTAGCTTAATGGTAGAACACTTACATATGACAAGCCCTGGGTTCAAATCCCAGCAAAAATAAAAGACTACCTTATAGCCAGGCATCTACCTGGGAAGTGGAGGTTGAGGTAGGAGGTTTCCAAGTTCAAGGCCTGGGCCATTTAGTAAGACCCCCTTCTCAAAAAAGGGATGTAGCCAGTGGTCGAATGTACCCCCTTACCATCAAAATCAAACCAACTTCTATCATTAAGTGTAGCCTTTGGGAGAATAGGGTAGGAGCAGGGAAGACAGCCTACACAGCACATTTTCTTTTCCCAATTCTGTAATGAGCTATTACCATTTAACAACCACAGAAAGCTTAAAGAAGGCTGGCCTATAATCTCAAGGAGGGAGGCAACTGTTGAAAAGTGCACCTGGGTTCAAACCCCAGTCCCCCACCAAAAACAAAAAAGCATGCATCCATCCACTCCACTAAGGCTTGAAACACAAAATATTCTTTTGAAAGAATACTATCCTTAAATGCCATTTCTTCAGACATAAGACAATCTCAAACTTCTCTGCCATGCGTTTAACATGGACAGCTGTTGCAGGATGGGTAAAAAGACTCTAATGGCTAGTTCCATAGAAATTTGAAGACTCACTCTCACCAACCTGGTCACCGACCCAATTAATAGGCCACCTTCAATCTGGTTATTTGAACAAATTGTACTTCACACACACATACATCTCCAACAGATTTATTTTTTAAAGGAATGGATTGAGAGAAAAAAACATGGGGCACAGAAGTATGGAATAGAAAATAAATACAAATGTAAGCTGTTTTGCTAATTGTTTTATAACCACAACAAACTAGTACAGAGAATACCCTGTACAAAACACAATAAATGTTCAAAGATCAAGCTGTTCCCTTAGCAAGGCTAAAGATTTCAGTCTCTGGTATTTGGAATTTAGGCTGCAGTCCTTATTTTTGGATGGATCACTGGTGTGTGGCACAGTCCATGCTTTTAACCAGATTTGAACAGAAGAATGGCCACTTGGCCCAGGTAGAAGTAGATGAAGTGCTTGGTTTCGTGTGTCACGTAACTACCAAAGTTCCTCCCCACAATGCAGTGCCAGGTGGGGTTGTACTTCTTGTCAAACTCCTGGGAAAAAAGGAAAAAAAACAAAACTAGAATTTTAGTTCTAAACCAGAACCTGTAGGAGCAGAAAAGAAGAACAGCAGCATCTGCAAATTCTTAGAATGAAAGAATGAATGTTCCCTAGCTCCAAGTCGCCCACATAGTACATTAATGCAAACATGCTTGCAGTCTGAGCCAAGATGGGAATGGGAGCTGAGGCGGCCAAAGTCAGAAAGGTCAGCCTCAAAGACAAGGTGCTTTGTTATAATGATAATTACACCTTCCTGTCTTCTATAATATTCTTAACTCACTGACAGCAGGTGACATCAGCAGTTATACTTTATTATATTCTCTGGGTAAACAGACCTAAATTGTCCTCCCACTACATTTGCCATGCATCAAAAAAAAAAAACAAAAAACTAAAAAATTGAGCCAGTTTCAAAAGATTCTTAACTGCACTCCTGCACTACTATAAACAAGACTTCCAAAGGACAAAGCTTCAATTAGCAACTAAACCAAACAAGTGCAGATCAAAATTTGGATTTAAGGGGATAAGATTCTATGAAAAGAATGTTGGAAGCTGGTCAAATTTTATCTTTAATCAGAACTTAAACTACCCCCCCCCCAAAACAACAACCAAAAACCTCCTTTCCATAGCTATATGATGCTAAACCTATTACATGGTCCTCAAGGTTAGCAACTCTTCCCTATTTCTCCCACTCCAAAAGGCATTGGGACTAGTAAATCTGTGCCAACTTCTTCACTAAACTAATGTGTAGGCAAAGACCAAATATAATCTCTATAAAATAAATTATTATTTTTATGGTGAGTTAACACAAAATTTAGCTTCTATTGCTAAATAGTGTGAAAACCTCTTGTTAGGTCTACTAAGGAGATTATCTGTCCTACAAGCTAGAAGCACATACTGCTGCGTTTGTCAATAAAGATATTGATTTCTGTTCCATCTTAAGTCTTTCATCTTCCATTCTCCACTGGAAGGGAATCTTCCCAGGCTTAGGCTGCCAGCTTCATTCTCTTCTAGCAAAAGGTAGCTCGAGAAGTCGGCAGTCCTGCCAGGTTTCTGACTACCTCTTACCAAACCCCTACCTACCCCAGGCGCCAACCACTATCACCACCCACTTGCCTTAACTGCCGACTAATTCCCCCTGGAAGACTGGCAAGATCTCCCTCTGGCCGGGCTGCAAGCACCCACGCAGCTCCCCCTCCGGAACACCCAGATGGATCCCCGATGCAGGAATCCTACAGAAGGGGGAACCGCTCGCTGCTCCCTGATCTTGGAAACCGTTGCTAGGTGGCGCTTTCCCCCAAGGAGATGGGTAATTAATAAAAAAAAAAAGAACTTAGGGCTCTGAGGGTCTGGTCTTCCCAAGAGAAGCGCAAAATCCATTTGCGTTCTTTCCAGAAATCTCTACGCCCCGAGCCCTAAGAATCTCTGCTAGATGCCTTGAGGACGCAGGATCGAGAGAAGGAACTAAGTTATGACGCGCGCCAGGTCCTCACCTTCTTGATGTGGGCCGCAATATCCTTTTCTATATTATATTTCTCCAACGCCTGAGTAGCGCACTCCACCGAATCCTGTTGCATCTCTTCCGACATGTCCGCATTTTTTATCACCGCCTTTCGGTCGCACATGGTTACCTGGTGGACGAGGACGGCGAAAGGAGTCAGGGAATAGGGTCCCGGGAGCGCGTCTGAAGCGCCGGTTCCCCACCCCCGGCCCGCGCCATCCCGGGACGCCGCCCCCACCCCACTTTTCAGGAAACGCGGATCGCGCGGACCGCACAGCGAGGGAAGTCCAGCAGGTGGGGGTGAAGCCAGGTGGTGGGGACGCCTGAGTCTCACCGTGGGGGCAGCGGCTGGGCGACTGCAACGGTCTCCTGAGGGAGGTGCTGGCGCAGCTCAAGCCCAGACGGAGTTGCTATCGCTACCGAAGCCGTGGCGCATCTAAGCAGCCCCACGCCAGCCGCCGCCGCCTAGTGCTCAGGCCCCGCCCTGCTCCCGCCGGCCCCGCCCCCACCGCACGTCCCTATTGGCTTAACGCAGCCCCCATAATTCTCCCATTGGCCCAAGGACTCAATGGTTCCCTCAGGATCTTTCGCCTGCATTTTGTTGCAGACCACAATGCACCGCTCACGGCGTCGGTTGCCCTGGCAATGAGCTGGCGCACGAGGTGAGGCCCACACACCCGGAAGGTGGAGCCTGGGCTAGGTGGAGAGGACCGCCAGCTGTCTAGAGAGCTGCAAGGGGAGCTTTTGCCCTAGCCAAGCGAGGTGATTCAAAATTCACGGAGGGCGTATTGTCAAACTTGACAGCCTCAGGAAATTGGGTGGCCACCTCCTCATGTACCTCCCACCCCCACCCCAGATCAGAAAAATTTACGGATTTTGAGGAGGCCTTCCCTTCACTGAATGGATATCTGTGAAGCAGGGCCGGCTTCTTGGGAAGCCCACGGTGCAGTCGCACAGAAGAGGTTCTCATGCGTGGTTTAATACTCTGCTGTCTCATTCTTGAAATTTAGTATTTAAACAAGGGGCCCCACATGTCCATTTTGCACTCGGCTCCCTGTGTCGTCGATCCTGCTCTGAAATATTTGTTGTGCGGAGGAGGGTTGGGGACAGTCTCAGGACTGAAGGAGGGGTTTCAGGAAGGAAATGAGTTTCTTTCTGAATTAAGGAATTTCCTCGGGAGTGGGGTCTCTCTGCCAGGCAATGCAGATTTAAGGGGCTCAAGACGGATTTAGGAGGACTGGGGATGTTACTCAGTGGTAGTACACTTGCCTGGCATTTACGAAGCCAGGGTTCCACCCCCCACCACCACCCTATTCCGTACAGCAATAAAAGGGGAGGGGGCGGGTGAAACTTCCAGGTGGATTTGGAGTGTTGAGCCTTGGGGTGTTTCCAGAGCGGGGCTACTTGGCTCCATTAATGGAAACTTTCTTGTGTAGGACAGTTTCTTGGTCGGATCCTAATGGACAAGAATGGGGTCCTCCAAGGTGTTTCTTGGCTTAGGGAGACTGAGCACTAAGAAAATTGTTGGCTGAGAATATAACTCAGTGATAGAGCCCTGGATTGGAAACCCAGCGCAGTAAAAATAAAGCCCAGCATAGTGGCACTGGTCTCTAAATTCCATCAGTTTAGAAGAATAAAGCAGAAAGACCAAAAATCTGTTTCAGGCCAAACCAGGGTGGTGGCACACACCCCTAATCCAAGTAGGGAGGCTAAGCCAGGAAGACAATTGGAGGCCAGGCTCAGCAATTTAGGGAGACCTCAAAGTAAAAATTAAATGGAGCCAGGTGTGGGGGCCAATGTCTCTAATCTCAGCAACTCAGGAGGTTGAGGCAGGAGGATCCCAAGTTCAAAGTCCACTTTAGCATCCTAAGGAGACCCTAAGCAACTTAGTGAGATCCTGTCTCAAAAAAATAAAATAAATAAAAAGGGATGGGAATGTACCTCAGTGATAAATCGCCCCTGGGTTCAATCCCCAGTACAGAAATAATAATTTAAAAAGTTTGAGGCTAGTCTGCACATGCCTGTAATCTCAGCTACTAGGGAAGCTAAAGGCCAAGGCCAGAGGATCATGAGGTTGAGGCTAGCTTCAGCAGAGTAAGAAGACCTTGTCTCCAAAATAAAAAGAACTGGGAATGTAACTCCATGGCAGAGCACTTGCTTATTCAGCATGAGGCCTTAGATTCAATTTTCAGTACTGCCTAAATAAATAAATTGCAAGGGTGCCTGGCTCAGTGGCCTACACCTGTAATCCCAGCAATCAGGAGACTGAGGCAGGAGGATCTCAAGTTCAAGGCCAGCATCAGCAATTTAGGAAGGCCCTAAGCAATTTTGTGAGACACTGTCTCAAAATTAAAAATACAAAAAAGGCTGGGGATTTGGCTCAGTGGTAAAGCACCCCTGGGCTCAATCTCCAGTACCAAATAATAAATAAATAGCAAGGACTTCAAGAAAGTGGTCAAATCTACACCTAAATCCCACCACTGCATTATGTATAATTTTAATGCACCAATAAAAAATAAACTTCAGCACTATCTGAACCTCTGTTTAAATCTGTAATAAGAAACTAAATGCAAAAAGGAAAACAATTCATAGGCTTGTTGGGATTATTAATGAACTAATGCTTTTAAATTCTCAGCACCGCATGTAGGAAGTAACTACAAGTTATTGTCAGTTTAAAAAACAGTCCCAGTCAGACACAGTGGCACAGGATAATGATGCCAGTGACTCCGGAGGCTGAGGAAAGAGGATTGCAAGTTTGAGGCCAGCCTCAGCAATATAGTGAGGACCTAAGCAATTTATCAAGAACCTGTCATAAGGTCTGGGGATAGAGTTCAGTTGGTAGAGTGCTTGCCTTGCAATGCATAAAGCCCTGGGTTCAATCCCCAGTGAGCTCGCACTCGCGCGCGCGCGCACACACACACACACACACACACACACACACACACACATATATAAGATTTTTAAAAAGGCTGAGGATGTAGTCTTGTGGTAAGGCCAAGGGTTGTTTTGTTTGTGTTTTTTTGTGGTACCAGGGATTGAACCTAGGGGCACTTAACCACTGAGACACATCCCCAGTCCTTTTTATTTTGAGTCTTGCTAAATTACTTAGGGCCTTACTAAATTGCTGAAGTTTACAACCCTTTGCACTCACTGTTACTCCTCACAGCAGCTCTGCCTGAGACCCCTTTCCTCTTACCTCCCTCTTGGCAAAGCTATTTCCTCATGTGGACTTTAGCTCAAATGTCACCTTCCCTGAACTCCCCTCTCTCCACTTACCCACCACCAGCTTTCAGTTATGCTCTACAACACCTGTGTGTGTGTGTGTGTGTGTGTGTGTGTGTGGTTGTGTGTGTGGTGCTGGGCATCTAATCTGTGGCCTCATGCGTGTCAGGCAACCATTTTACCACTGAACTATGCTCCTGACTCCTCTAAAACACTTTTTTTGTGGAGGGGATGGGGATTGAGGATTGAACCCCAGGGAAGCTTTGCTTCTGAGCCATATCCCATTTATTTTTATTTTGAGACAGGGTCTCTCTAAGTTGCTGAGGCTGGCCTTGAACTTGTGATTCTTCTGCCTCAGCTTCCCAAATTGCTGGGATTACAGGTATGTACCACTGTACCCAGCTCTACAACACTTTTAATTCTTCCACCATATTTGCTTCATTTATTCTTTCAAGGGAATTACCTTATGTGTTGGTTTGCCTAGATATTGTCTATCTGCTCCTGACTGTTTTGGTTACTACTCCATCTTCAGCATTAATTCAGTGTCTAAGACCAGGGATGTAGCTCAGTGGTAGAGCTCTTGCCTAGTATTTGCAAGGTTCTGGGTTCTAATCCCTAGCTCTGGAAAAAAAAGAAAGAAAAAATTCAGTTTCTGGCACATAACAGATACTCAATAAATAGACTGAATTTAAGAAGTCAGATCTTATGTCACCATCTTACATATTAGAAAATTGATTTCCAAGGACATGCTGTTAATAAATGAAAGTTCATGTTTGGATTACTCTAAAATCCATTCTCTAAACTTGGGTATTATATTCATACATTTAGCAGAGTAGGCAGTTAGCCTTTTTCTTATTTATAACTTTGAAGGAGTTTGAAATGGAATGATGGTAAAGTTTTCTAAAACATAACAGGATTTCATTTAATAAAGGATGCTAGGTATTTCTCAGTTGTGACTCCTGCCCTTCCCTGACATCTGTGTTTATACTGCTCATTCTCAACCAGCTCTTAGCCTGAAAGAAGGTGCCATCAGAAACCAGGGCCTCCTTGGCCTATGTTAGTCCCCATTTGGGGGGGGGGATTGTCCAGCTAATTTGGAGGGAATTTTTTCTAGGAACCAAAAGCATTTCTACCTTTTTCATACCTTTATCAATCACTTCTGTAGATTGATTCATTATTTATCTACCCACTCTGAGTAAGGCAGGCAGCAAATATCTCCTGATTATCAGAGAAAAGTACTGTGCTGCATTTGAATGCTTGAAATTTGTGTAGAATCAGTCATAATCCCCTCCATAAAGAGCTTCTAGTCAACAATAAATTAATCCTTTTAGGGGCTGGGGCTGGGGCTCAGTGGTAGAGTGTTCACCTAGCACGTGCGATGTGCTGGATATGATCCTCAGCACCATATAAAAATAAATAAATAAAATAAAGGTATAAGAAAATCACAACAATCTTTTAAAAAATTAATTCTTTTGGTATCTTAGGTTTGGGTGTTTTAAGGGAGTTTAGAAATATAGGGATTTAGCATTAATAAGGAAGGCAGGTGGCATAATAGGGAGTGGTAGGGAGTGTGGTAAGTTGAAAAACCCTTTTTAATGGTGCCAGATATATTTTGCTATTTTGGAATGCTGGCCCTTTGATTTTAAAGAGAGATTAGTAATATCAGTTATTTTCATGGGAAATACTCCATTTTACTTTATTTTGCTTTATTTTTTTTTGGTACTTGAGATTGAACCTAGGGGAAATTAACCACTGAGCCACATCCCCACCCCTTTTTATTTTTTATTTTCAGATTTTGAGATAGGATCACAATCACAATAAGTTGCTTAGGGCCTCACTAAGTTGCTGAGGCTGGCCTTGAACTTGCAGTCCTCCTACCGCAGCATCCTGAGTCACTAGGTTTACAGG